AGGTGATCTTGAACGCACCTTTTCAGCGTCAGAGGCATTTTTCAGACGCCCAGACCTGAACAACTGCATGAGAGTTTGCTGATTTTTTTAAGGGCTTATTTTAGTTGAGGATCAGCTTTGGGCCTTTCCAGCTGGGAAAGCTTCTTCCTTGCTCTTTGGCCTTGGACTCACACCCTAGTGTAGTTCTGTCTGCTGCTGAGGGTGGAGGAGACAGCACATGCTCTCAGGAGTAATGTGGACATGGGCACAGTTTTGCAACTTCAGCTGGGCAGGGGAGAAGAATGGTGAGCCTGTCAAGAGCATGAATATGAATTTTGAATCAAACAGATACTGAATCTTGGTGCACTAGACTTATTGACTCAAGAGGTAAATATTGACCGTTGGGCAGCAACAGAATTCCCACTTCAAGAATTCCCTTTGGATGCAAAACAAAGGTCAACACTCAGCAGAAAGCACTATAGGAGCTGTGAGAGTTGGCCTGTATGAGCAGGACATAAATATAGTGAAGATTTCTTTGGCCATCACTATTTCCCTAGGACTAGAGCATGTTAGGGATGGAACAGATGTTAGTACTCAACTAGGCCCTCGTGTAGCGGAAAGAGGATCAGATCTGGTGACTGGGGACCTGGGTTTGATTCCTTACTACCCTGTATGACCTTGGATAAGTCTCTTTCTTATCTCTGGGCCTCAGTTTACTCCTCTTTAAAATGAGGGAGCTGGCCTAGGTGGTCTTTAAGGTCCCTTTCAGCTCTCTATTTTTTTTTCTCTAACACCTTTTTTATTTTATTTCTTCTCAGTTACGTGTAAAATTTTTTTAACCTTTTAAAAAAATTTTGAGTTCCAAATTCTTTCTTTCCCTCCCTCCCCTCCCCTATTTGAGAAGACAAGCAATTTGATACAGATCATACATGTACAGTCATGCAAAACATTTCCATATTAGCCATGTTGCAAAAGAAAATGCAGACCAAACAACCCCAAGAAAAAGAGTTTTTTAAAAGTACACTTCACTCTGCATTCAGACTCCACCAGTTCTTTCTCTGGAGGTGGATAGCATTTGTCATCAAGAGTCCTTCAGAATTGTCTTGGATCATTGTATTGCTGGGAATAGCTAAGCCATTCACAGTTGATCATCGTACAATATTGCTATTACTGTGTGTACTGTTCCCCTGGTTCTGCTTACTTCATTATGCATCAGTTCACATAAGTCTCCCCAGGTTTTTCTGAAAGCATCCTGCTCATCATTTCTTATAGCACGATAGCATTCCATCACAATCATGTACCACAACTTGTGCAGCCATTCCCCAATTAATGGGCCTCCCCTTAATTTCCAATTCTTTGTCATCACGAAAAGAGTTGCTATAAATATTTTTGGTACGTATAGATCTTTTTCCTTTTTTTTAATCTCTTTGGGATACAAGTTTTGTAGCCCTTTGAGCACTGTTCCAAATTGTTCTCTGCGATGCTCAGATCAGTTCACAACTCCACCAATAGTACGTTAGTGTCCCTATTTTTTCCATATCTCCTCCAACATTTGTCATTTTCATTTTCTGCATATTAGCCAATCGAATAAATGAGAAGGGGTACTTTAGAGTTGTTTTAATTTGCATTTCTGTAATCAATGGTGATTTTGAGCATTTTTTTTTCATATGACTATACATCAGCTCTGTATTTCTTGATGTGATGCAACTCCCCATTTTACAGGCAAGACAACTGAGGCCTAAAGAGGAAAAGGATTTGTTGGGGGATGTTTTGCCCAAGGCCAAAAAGCTCATGGCATACTGATTTTTGCTTTGAGTTCCCAGAGGAAGCCTATAGGGGCACACTGCTTGGGGCAAGATTTCTCATTTTCAGGGTGGAGATATCAAGCAGCATATGTATAGACTTTTTGGCAAGATAATGACCAATATATGTAGCTGTCAATTTCCTCTTTATTTCTGTGCTCAAGCCAACAAGAGCTGATGACTCAGTGGCACTGCAGTAATACTTTTAAGATATGTTGAGTGAGATTCAAAAAATGACTTGAGCCCACTGGATAGAAGCCTGTGAGAGCAGGGCATAAAGCCAGAAGGGGGCACAGTACAGAAAGGCCAGGAAAGAATCCATGCCTAGTGAATGAAAGTGACTAGAGTGAGGTAAATAAGGTATTATAGCTGAAAGTGAGTTAGATCTGGAACCAGAGAACCCGGGTTTAATTTGGGGCATTACTACTTGTTAGGTGAGTGACCTTGGCCAAATCTCTACCCTCAAAGTCTTGGTTTCCTCCTCTGAAAGACCTTTGGGTGATCTCTAAAGTTGGACTTTAACAAAACCACGGATGGTTAGAGAGATCCAGCTCCTCACTGCCCCCTTCTCAAGCCATGCTCATTCTTTCTCTCTACTCGCTCAGGTGCTGCCCCCTCCCAGAAAGCTCTCATTACTCCAGGCCACACTGATCTTGCTTGATCCACAAAGACATACTTCCATTGCACTTAATATCTGTATTATTTGCTGACTTGCCATCATACAGTTCCTGAACTCTATGTTCCCGAACTGTTTCATATACACGTGTCTTCTTTCCCTAAAGAAGTTGTAATAAAGATGACAGGAAAGATCCGTGATTTCATCACTATGGGGAACTACCCATGTGAGCTATAGCTCCCTCCACTGGAGATGCAACTAGGCCACAGGGTAGCACATACGTCCTAGGGAGTTTATGGAAGCGTACAGATATTAAGTGACCTGACCACGGTCACACAGAGCTAGTAAAGGCTGGAGCAGGATTTGGACCCAGGTCCTCTTTCATACAAGCCCAATACTCTACCCACTATCCCATAGTGACCTCTGCAGTTGCAATAATTGCTTACATTTCTAAAGTGTTTTTATGGTCACAAAGCATCTGACCATCTCATGCCCCTACTTCACTGGGGAAGAAAGAAAGTAAGGCTCAAGTAATGTGACCTATATGAGGTCACACAGACAGTAAATGACAGAGCTGGGACTCAAACCCAAATCTCCTGCCTCCTGGTCCTTTCTGTATGCTCTCCCCCACCACAATGCTGCTTCCTTCCCTCTAGGCTCAGTAAGAGCCTTACAACAAGTCACATTAGTGGCACATAGAATATTGTCCTAGAAGGAATCTCAGAGGTCATTAAATCCAATATCCATCTTTTACAGAGGAGGAAACTGAAGCCCAGAGAGGGAAAAGTGATTTGCCTAAGTTCTCACAGGGAGTAAGTAGCATGGATTCAAACCCCAACCTCTGGATCCAAATCCACTGTACCATTACTGTGGGCTTCTTGCTGGAGTGCAGAGATTCTGTTTTACTTATCTCAGGGTACACTGTAGCACGCGGAATAGGACTAGATACATAGTAAGCACCAAGGGAAGACTTCGAGGCGGCAGAGCAACAGATAGAGAAGACATAGTCCATGTTAGAGACAGAAACGGAAAGGGGGAAAAGAAGGTAAGACAGTGGAAGCAGAGACCAAGAGACAAAGCGTTTTGCAGCGTCTTCTGTTATCAGTCAAGAGGTGTAGAGTTAGTGTCAGTCTCACTAAAAATGACTTCTGGGCCTGGCCTTGACTCCCAGTGAAAGCAGCCCCAAGGGAGTTGAGGGAAAAGGCCAAATAAACAAAGTGAAACATGTCCTGTTTGGGAGGCAGCAAATTGGCAAAACCGGACTTGAGAAGCAGACAGAGGATCCCCCCGATTCTCCAGGGGCAGGGCTCTACCCAGAGAAGGAAAGAAAGCATCCTACCCCTGGCTGGAATTTTTCATTCCAGCGAAGGGGGAGGGGCGAGGGGTGCTCGAGGTTGGTGGAGGGACAGGCTAGAAATGAAGTTGCAGATGGCTGGGTAAAGTTCTGTAACAGTGTTCAACGCGGGGGGGGGGGGTAGAAGGGAGGGGGAAGGAGGAAAGGAGGGAGGGAGGGAGGAAAGGAGGTGGGAGGATAACATTAGAAGCGTGGGCGACCCAGTCAGCAACCTATATAGCAGCAGAAAATACTGGAGGGGAGGAAGTATATAGCTGGAGATCATTCCATTATAAACAGGTTTCATCTGTGTGGCCCTCCTCTGGCCTCAGAAGAGGAGCTTTCCTGGGAAAGGTGTGCATGTGGCCCCCGGGGCCGAAGTGCTTTTCCACGGGTGGCACTTCCCAAGTTTAAGACAGTAAGTATCCGTCAGAACTTCTTTCTTGTTTTGTTGCCTTTTTTTCCCTTTATTCTTTTTTCCCCCCTCTGCTCTTTTCTTTCATCTGCGGCCCCCTTTCCCTCCCTTTTTCCTTAGTCTTTCTGCATCCCCCTTTTTTTTTCCTGAGTGTTTTTCCTTCTTGTGGTCTTTCCTCCTCTTTCTGGGTTCTTTCTTTCTCCTTTTTGTGCTTCCCATTTCTCTTTCTTTCATACTTTCTCCTCCCTCTTTCATTCTTTCTCCTCCCTCTTTCTTTCCGAAGAGATGGGCTCTTAAGGACCCTACTCCAGCCTCTCTGCTTTGAACCGTTCGGGCCCTCACTCCTCATTAGGCTGCCTCCGGATGAGGCAATCCCGTTGCACGGACACGCACAGAAGCTCTCTCTGCCCATTAATTGGCCAGGAAAGCAGCCTTAGCCATTGTCAAGTGGCACTTAAGCTGCCAATTCCGGACTGTGAAAACGGCCTTTCCTGGGCAATGAGCTGGGAGGCCAGCTCGGTGCGTGCGCGCAGTGATTGGTGACTCCCGAGCCGAGCCGAGCCGAGCGCGGCTGCAGCCCCGGGGATTGGGCGGGCTCTGGGCTCCCAACGAGACCTCCTGAGCCAATGGAAAGCATTTCCTATTGAGACCCCCAAGTGCTCCCTTGCCCCTCGGCTTCTTCCCCAGACATTGGGCCCTTTCTTGTGTCCTGTTTGCTGAAGGCATGCCGGCTCTGGCATTCCGGAGACTCAGTGCCTAAACAAAGGCTGGCCGAGCAATGCCCCCCCGCCCCCGCCCCCGCCCCCGCCCCCGCCCCCGCCCCTGCTGCCGCCCGCCCGCTCCGAGGATGAGCGCTCGGCAGTGAGGAGCTGGGACAGACCCGGCTTGGGCTGCGTTCCCTTTGCGCCGGAGGACATGGAGAAAGGCATGCACTTTGAAAGAGCCTACCATTGTGGCCAGCCGGGCACTGGGTCTTGCTAGCTAACTGTCTGCTGCCATGACCGTACTTTCTCACTCGGGGTAAGTCTCCTTCGGTCTGTTGTTCGGGAGTGGGGCCGGGGGGCCGGGGGTGTGCTCCTCAAGCGGGCACCCTGCCTCTTGGAGCGTTGAGGGCCGGGAGGCTCCTCTGCAACTTTGGGCTGAACGAACAATCGATTTCGATTGTTCCTGCACGGATATAATGAAACGACGGTAGGGTTCTCGGGATTCTGCTTAAAGTGAACACAAATGTCCCAGGAAGTCAGAGTTGCCTGGGAATGAATACAGTATGTACCTTGCCAGCAGGATTAAAGGCATCTCCGTGTCTAGCACTTTAAAAAACTCCTGTTGCTCCGGGTTACGGTTCTCTTTTATTCTCTTCAAGCTCAGAGGCTGCCTATTGGGAAGACGTTTCTTTTAGGGTTAATGTACATAAGATTTCTGGCCCATCAAGCGTGATCGATGTATGTAAGCCAGCAAATTGAATTATTCACCAATACGGTCCTGTGTGTGTCAGCTGAAAACCCGTATCTTGGGTAAATTGGATGAGCTGTTTGGAATGAAATGAATAGATGCGGAATTCCAGGACAAATACAGGGTCAGGGTAATGGTGAGACGGGGCAGGTACGAAGAGGATCCTTTCTGAGTAATTCACTCCTTGTGTTTTTACTTCTAACATTCTTCCTGGCAAAGCTCTTTCTGAATTGGTCTGCGTGCCCCCATTCTCTGCTGCAGGCATTTGGCCGTTTAATTCAGTAAGATTTCAGCGGGGGAAAATGAGCAAACAAATCCCTACGGGGAGGTAGCTCAAAGCTTGGTGGGGTCATTCACCATCTCAGCCAGCCCGATTATACCAACCCCTCTTCCTGGCTAGCATAAAGGCAACTATTAGAGATCCGGAGCCAAAAGCTCTCTTCCCTTTCGGTGGTGGGGGGGGCTCAAGATACATTCAAAAGTAGCCCCAACGCACACACACACACACACACACAATCTGTGAAGCCTTTTAACTTGTCACAGTCTAAAAATTACATTCCTGCTAGGGACGGTATTTGGTCAGCTGATAAAATCACTGGCCTCAAAATTTTAAGGCAGCCTTCGTAAAGCAAAGAAGTGAAGGAGAACGTTTGAACAATTCAGATGGGGCCTTCAGCAATCAATGCCCACAGTTAGAAACCAGAGAGGGAAGGGGCTGGGGGTTCACAAACACCCAGGAAAACTTGAAGAAGTCAAAAGGCTAAATCTCTTTGGGGGGGGGACCTGAGTTGTTGTTATTGTTATTGTGAGGAGGTCAGGGCCACAACTGTGTACGTAGCATAATGCTTGTGTTCGTGTGTTCATGCCCTTGACTTGTATAGAGGATTGAGACTTGTGAAAATTGTGGATGAAAACTAGAAGCTTAGCCTATGGCCATTGACCCCAGGGGAAATTAGGCTGAGTTTTCACGGAGGCCGCCTGCCTGGTCCAGCACAAAGAACCTTGGCTTTGGAGCCAGAGGATTTAGAGCTGGAAAGGATCTTAGAGATGATTTAATCCAACTCCCTTATTTTACAGGGAAAGACATTGAGGTCTAGGGAGAAAGGGTACCCTGGGTAAGCTCACGTGGCTACTAAGTATCAGAGCCAGGATTTTAGCTCAGAGCTTTGAAATGAAAATCCAGGGCCCTTCCTACTATACCTCACTGTCTCTCCAAGGTCAATGTCCGAGGCACAGCTCTGATATTTACTAGCTGGGCGAGTCACTTCATCTCTCTAAAATGGAGATAAAATGAAGACCACCTACCCCATTCACTGAGTGAATGTTGGCAAAGAGAGATGGGGGCTAGCATCCTTCAAAAGATAAGAAATATCTATACATATTTACTAGTTAGTATATAAAATGGTTTGCTATATTTTGTCTTCTGAGCGGTTGAATTGTCACCTCACCTTTTGAAGGAAGATGGTAGAGTCTTTGAGAGGGATAAGGTGGGCTAACGAAAGGATGCCTGAATGTGGACTCGGGGACCGAAGGAAAGTAGGGCTAGGATGGCCAGATGAGGGTCAAGCCCAGGTCCAGGAGCAAATCTACTGAGAGTGGAGCTGATAGGGATGGTATAAAGATCAGACATGGAGATAGCCCACAAGGTTCCGGCCTGCTAGGCTGACGGCCCTACCTCATCGACAAGATATCAGAATATCAGGCAAACAGTCAAAACTTCTAGTCTCTGTGGGAGGATCTGAAGATAAATATGATAAGTTACTTGCCCTCAAGGAACTTACCTTCTAGGAAGAGAAGCAAATTATACCTATATGACAAGTTACCCAACAATACAAGGCATTATAAGCACCATATGAGTGATGATAGACATAAGATGTTAAGGAGTTCAGAGGAGAGAGAGAGAGAGGGAGGGAGGGAGAGAGAGAGAGAGAGAGAGAGAGAGAGAGAGAGAGAGAGAGAGAGAGAGAGCATTGTAGTGATATAGTGGAAATGACGCTGGACTGAACACCCTGGGTTCAAATGCCAGATGCCAGAGCTGCTTAATACTAGCTGTGTGAACTCGGGTAAGTCCACTCTGGGCTCCAGTTTCTTTCTCTCTAAAGGTAGGGGGCCAAACTAGATTATCTATAAGGTCCCAACTAGCTCGAAATCCTATGGCTGAGGAAGGCAACAAAGGCTTCATGGGTGCTCAGTAATAATGTTGCTCAGAGCTGGGTCTTGAAAGATGGATAGCATTTGATGGGCAGAAAGTGGGTTGGGTTATGGGGCATTCTAGGCGTAACAGTATGAACAAAGGTATAGATGTGAGACTGTGTGTTCACGGGGTGCTTGGAGACAGGAAGATCAGCCTGGCTGAAGCAGATTTTGTGCAGGGGAGTAGTTGGAATCAGACTAGGAGTCTTGAATGAATATACTGTAGAGAGCTGGAGAGCCCTGGAAGGTAAAATACACCAGGCAAGCTATTTGTGTTTTACTTGATGAAAATGGTTTCCCTCCTTCATATTGTCTAGTCTCTACCCACATGCTAGAGAAGGAATTCAAGATAAAGCGACTTGGGAGCCTAATTTCTCTGACTCACCAATAGCCAATCTGAAGCCCTATGTACAAGGAGCTTCCCCTCTTTGGACAGAAGTAAATGACTAGTAAATTGGCCGCTTGATGAGCTATACCTCCTGGATTAATTCCTCACCCGAAGGATTATTGGCTACCAAGTAGACTTAGGCTTTGAGTAATGATTCTCAGTGGCCTGGTCCCCATGGAAGCTTCTCTGGGCAGCTGGATCATGGAAGCATGCAGTCTTCATGCTTATGACATGATAGTGTCCATGTGTTGACATGAGGCCTGATGAATAAATGGCTTAGGATATTGAAAAAAAAAACTCAAACGTGGCTTTGTTATGACTCAAACACAGCAATACTAGTCTTCTTGAAGTGGTGGGAGGGAGCAGGTGGCCCTCAGGGCATTCTCTGCCAAGGTGGGCCATTGACAGAAAGTGTTTAACAACTCTTGGCTCACTAGCCTCTGTGCAACTAGGAAGTGCTGTCAATCAGTCTAGCCTCTCAGGTATGGGGCTGTTCCTGTGGGGTACCCAGTTTTAGAATTGTTCTCTGCACAAAGTTGGCACTCACATAAAAGTCTGTTGTGTTTAGTGGGGAATGACCATAAGATCACCTTCCCTCGTTTCTATAGCCAGAGGAGCATTGGGATGGTGAGTGTTTCTAAGGAATTAAGAGAAGGGGAGGAGGTACCTACACATTCTGGGGCAGTCGAGCTCTTGTGAGACTGGGATTTCAAGTCCTTAAAACAAATATCTTCTGATCAACCCAACTCAGGTAATCACCCCACTTTGGAAGTATATTTTTAAAAAAAGCTCTAAGGAAAGCTGGAAATTGTTAATAGCAGCATGCAATCAGTCATTCATCTTTGATGGTTTATCCAGGTCAGTGATGGTACAGCGTGAGGGGAAGCATTTACCTCACTCCTAGCCCTCTCAAGAATTGAAGAAATCTTTGTACTCATCTGGGAATCTGAACATTTCAAAAGGGCTACATTCTCTTGAAGGGAGGGATAGTGTGCTAATGCTGTGGGAGGGTGTGGCCTGGCCCTTCCTTCTTCTTTCCCCCCTTTTTTTCAGATGGCCTTCATACAACAGCTAGGAGTGTTAGCCATACCTAGGAAGGCAATATTAGGAAGAACCTTAGAACGAGAACCTAGAATATATCAAGAGCTAGAAGGAACAATAGAAATCATCTAGTTCAACCTCCTCGTTTTACTGATGAAGAAACTGAGGCCCCGAGAGAGGAAGTGTCATTGAGCGAACTAGGAATAAATCCTGAGCCAGAGTGTTATTTTTACTAGATTGTACATATTCCCAATTATTCGGAGTCATCCCAGAATGGGGTATTCTGATAAATGAAATAAGCTTGTTAACTGAGAGTGACATACTCACAATTAAAAAAACATTTAGAATGGTCTGTTATGTGGTGAAAGTAAAGTGTAGCAAGTGGCTAGACAGACTCTGTGCTCTATTGATATTCTGGTAATGTCAAGAGAACACAGGGAGGGAGTTCAACATGTTGGGTAGACTCCTGTGGCAAATTTCTGGGAGGATATGGATAAGAGTTGAGCAGGATGAACACGCATAGAGAAACTAGGTTGCATTGTGGGAGAGAAACTAAAGTAACAATTTGGACCCTCCCAGGAATACTCTTTCTGCATGACCAGTTAGTTCCTTTCTCAATGTGGGGATGTAGCAGGTCTCAGGGAAGAAATCAGGCCTGGGGTCAAGGGGTCGTGGGGGCTCCAGCGCTGTGTTCCTCCCCACCTCCCCCTTTATCTGCGCTGGCTGTCCTTCCTCTGCCTCCCACAGGTAGACCCATGTATGGCCAGAACAGAACGCGTGTTGGGGGTGGGGAGGGGGATCAGGAACAATCACTGCCTCTAGCAAACTCACATAGGGAAGAAAGGGGGGTATTTATAATATAGTTTCTCTGTGTTGGGTATCAGGGTGAAGGGGGATATGGAGCTTACAAGATGTGAATTTCCAAGAGAAGTACATGTGTATTTCTTTTTCACTGGGTATTTCTTACAAAAATTTCAGATTCTCTAGAGCCAAGAACTGTTAGAGCCTTCAGTCAAGGCCAGACTGCCAATACAGTCCCAGCTGTCGAAGGAACAGGTTTGGAAGACGTGCCTGCACGCCCTACACTTCTGGAGCAAAGATCTCAGAGGGTCCCAAAGTCCTGCTGGGTCCGTATGGTAACCCTTATCTTCTCTGATTTAAATCCTGTTGTCATGAGCTCTGCCTTCTCTTCTGGGTCTAAGCTGACTATAAAGGCCTGACTCTGGGACTCAGGTATAACTTCTTAGGTGGAGAGAGGAGCTGACCATGGTGCATCTCAGCAGCACTGGCAAATGGGTTCTTTAAGCAACCTCTGAGGACATCTGGTGTCAGAGGTCCAATCTGGGCCCTTCCAGGTGGCTACTTGTATGATTTTTGTCAAGTTACTTTACCTCTCTAGGCCTCAGTTTCCTCCTCTGTACAATGAGAAAGTTGGACTACATAATATCTAATGTCTCCCCTAGTTCTAAATCTTACCCTATCAGCCTATTCATCAGAGTAGATGCCCACTCTCACAACTGCTTTACATCCCAACCCTCCATGCCTTGGTGCACCACCTGGGGGGTATACCCCAAATTCACCACTAGTCAGCTAATCTGATCAAGTGCCTGCACTAAATTCAGCTGGTCCTCTGATAAAAAACACATGGCTCAACCCCAGACTCAACTTGAGGCTTTTCCAGCTGGGCAAGATGAGCATTCAGGAGCACAGGGTCACCTTCACACCACAATAAGGTACTGGAGGAGAACATTAGAACAAACAAAAGAATTATGTTGTAGGAATTAGGCATGCTACATAATCAGACAGAGAAGCAGCCTGGTGTAGTAACGTCAGAGTCAGGAAGGCCTGGGTTCCTTCCATTCCAGCCTTTGACACACACTGACTGGGTGACCCTGGGAAATCGCTGAACCTCTCAGTGCCCCAAGCAACTTTCTCGAACTTGAAGTTACAAAAGAGTTATTGATCTGCAGCAGTGGAAAGGGTTTCCACACTAGGAGTTTCCCACATGGATGAAATCAAGTGAGGATCAAAAGCAAAATTTTAAAAATGACCAACACTTATTCAGACAGTAATAAAGGCCTGCGCTAATGTGTACATTATAAGTCATAACAGCTAATGAAAAATGCAAATGCACCTTAGGCTGTGACTCTCCCTCATTTATCTCCCAGCATTGCTCAGAGGGGGTTACTAGTCACAGTTCCTACGATTTTATAGATGTATGTGTACATCACTCCCATTTTTGGTCACTTGCCCAAAGTATTGTAACAATTGGTACCCACAGTAGGCTGAGACTATGGTGGTACCAGTCTCCTATTTGATATCTCCCAAAATTCTCCATTTCATTTTCTGCCCTCTTTCCTCAACCAGACATTCAGAATTATTAAAGGCAATGCCACCCCAAACCCAGGACAGGATGAAAAGGTCTTATTGTTTCTTGTGATCCAGTTAATTAAGCTAATACAAATGTAAGGTATTATTCTAAGTCTTGATTCTTCAATCTGTGTGTTATGTCACACACACACACACACACATATACAATGTACTCACATCTGTGGGGTCTCAGCCCCCTTGGTTTGTATTCATGTGCCCCTGCGTTGGTGCACATAGATATCTGATAATTAGGTGTCCAAACGGAAAATTGTTAAGCCTGCCTGGATGGTTTGGGGGTGGTAAGAAACAAAGCAAAATTCCCAATTGACATAGAGGCAAAGTGCAGAATTTGGAAATTAGTGCTTCCAGGAATTTCCCCCAAAGCCTCTAGCCCCTCTGTTGTGATGAGATACCAAGTCTCCAGGCTCAGAACAATTCTAAAGCTGTAGCTTGAGCAATTTCTCTGAAATCACTTTACTTCCTAACCAAGTGGGGGCAAAAAGCCACATTACTGAAAGGAGGCTGATGCAATTATTTGGAGCATTGGGCCCTCTTCTTTTCCAAGTGATGGACCATGTCAGTGGGTGAAGGGTTATTGGGGAAGTGAAGCCGCTTTTGGTCAGGAGAGGAGGGAAAATCAGCTTGGCCTTTGGGATAGGGTAGATAGGATCTGACTGGATCAGGGGCCCAGTTAGTCCAGCGCTCTAGTTAGGTAAAATGGATTGGGGGGGGGTGGCGGGGAGAAGAGCCAGGAGGGCAATGCAAACCAGATCTAGCCTGGGGAAGCCACCATTAACAGGAAATACCTCTCAGTTCTCCCAGGAGATCTTATGGAACATAGAAACCCAGGTTGAACAAGTGAAGCATTTAGCACAAAAGGAGGGTTGCCTAGCATTTGAGCTGATAGGGATCAATTTCCTAGCTCAATTGTGGAGTGAAGCCTTTAGCAGTTTCCTCCATATGGCGTGTTATACATATGACTAGGCCATGTTTGGGATATTCTTCTGAAATATCAACCGTAGAATAACAGAACCTGACCTTCGTTCAGTAGCAGCCATACCTTGGCTGGTGATTCGATGCTTTGGCCTGGGAGATGTCCTAGTCTTGTCTATTTTCATCTGTCTCCTGCTCCTGATGCCCTTACCCATCCCTTGTCCAGGATCATGTGGGGCTCCCTGGATTTTCACAGCATTTGGGTATTCCTTAGCTCCCAACACTATTTAGTATTTATAGGCAAGAATACAATGGTGTTGGAGGAAATGTTGGACTCTATTGTGTCAAGCTTCATACACTTCCACCAGATTAGAAAGAGGAAATACTCGAGAGAGCCGAACCACTCAAACCCGAGCAAATCCTATTCACAATGAATCAGTGGCAGAGACTTCAGGTTTCCTCAGCCTTCTGGGACTTGGTTTCCCAGGCTCTGATTGATTCTGCTTATGGCATTATGTGTGCAGGTAGTGAGGGAGGGAGTAAGCAAGCTCTTCTCTATGGTACCTACTATGTGCCAGGTATTATGCTGAGCACTTTTTACAAATATTATCTCATTTGATCCTCACAACAACCCCATGAGGTAAGTGGGAGAAAACTCTGCTTTTAAGGTATCCCCTGGAAAGTTTCCACCTTGTAAACTGCAGAGATTGATTTATTAACTGAGGAGGGCCAAGAGGCTAAATATTCTGCAGGAGTTGGGGAGATCCCAAGTTTAGCATACTTCATTATTGTTAAAAATCAAAAGAAAGAGTGGAAAATGGGAGTACCTGCAATAAGCTGTCTGAATTGAGTCCATATGTGTGGGTCAAAGTTAACGATTCATTTTGGGTTGGATTTTCTTGGTCCACCTTCAGTTGACCTGGTTCCTGCCCATTGTCGATGGGAAAGCATCTCTCTGATAAACTGAGCTCACCAAGTGATTAATTGTGGGCATAATTGGCTGTAAAAAGAGGGCATAAATGTGTGTGTGCATATAATTTTTTTCTTCCTCTGCAACTCATCTGAAGCACAAATGTTGGCCCATTGCCTCTGCTCACTGCACAATCTGTTAACCATTTATAAAACGCCCTAGTGGTAACTATGTTCTGCCTCCTTCGCAGCTAAAAGCCATTCCTTGAACCCAGCTTACATAGAGTCCTTGTGGTTTTTTCACCGGGGTGAATAAATGTCCTTCTTCCCAGAATCCTCCATCTGCAAGGCGTGAGCCTGGTGGAGTAGAGAAGAGCATTCTGAGTACCACGGTGTGGCAGAGCTGGGCCTCAAATAAAAGGCATCTTTCTGTCTCGCCGGGCTCTACAGGGCTATGGGATATTTCAGAGAGGTGCCAAGGGGAACAGGAACAAAGCCTTTTCCAAAACCACACAAGAAATCTTGCCTATTGCTCCATTCAGTTCAACTAGCTTAGGCACGGTCCCCGAAGGACACAAAACTGCTTAGAGGGCTGCTTTCAATTTTTGCCTAATGTGCCGTGTGACTTTGGGCAAGCCCCTTACCTTGTCCTGGATGTCAACTTGCCTCTGTTGGACTAAATTAGCTCAAAGGTCCCCCAGCTCCAATGTTCCACGGACCTAAGCATAGCATCAAGGGTGGAGACTTTGAATGCAGTATTTGGAGGGAGAAGCCTCTGTAAGCTTATTATCCCGACGTTGAGACAACTCTTCAACCCAAAGCCATTCCAGGGACATAGGTTTAATCCAGGACAGGTGCTGAAGACACTGAAGCCCCAGCTGCTACATGGGCGCTGTTTCCAGCCCTGCCTCACCCTAAAGATCCTGGGATGCTTCAGGGAATTTAGTCCCCGCTGAATTTGGCTTTCCTCAGGGTCAAGTGAGATATTTGGAAATCGCTTATCACATACCCTGGAACATAGAGGTGCTTCATAAATGCTTGATGCCCCCCCCCCCAGTCCAAAAGCAACCCCTGAGGAAACGTCGTCCCTCTCGATCTGGAGTTCTAGTCTCAGTTCTGCTGTTTGCTCCGTGTGACCACTTCTCCCCTTGGTGAGGTCCAGTTTCCTCAGGCTTAGGACGAGGTCGGACCCATAAACCCCTATGATGTTGTTAGCTCCAAAATCCCATGATCCTGCTTTCGGCTGACACTCAAAGACGGGATTTCTAAACAGAAAGAAAGCTGAAGAGGAATCATGTCTTTTTGGATGGGGACAGAGGTGCCAAGGAAATGCCAGCATAAGTGTTCCATTGTGTCAGGGAGGGCAGGCAAAGTTTAGAAAATGTTTCTTGGGTAGTATTGATCGCTTTCAGGTTCCAAAGTTTTCCACAGGTCCTACTGAATCCTTCCAACCTCAGCTCTAAGATGGGGACATGGGTAGTAGGTACACAGAGGAGAGGAAGGGTATAGCCAAGTTACATACTGAGTCAGAAATAGAACTCAGCTAACGTGCTGGGTAAAATCCCAGGACCACACTCTTACTGCTAGACAGCCAAGGTGCTATGTGCTACAGTGGGGAAAGGAGGCTGGCTGGCAGATAGCTGTCTCTCCCCATTTTCTGGGTTCAGAATTGTGAAAAGACTAATATTTTCTTACCTGTGTTCTTTTCTCTCTTCTAGGGTTGATTCCTTAGAGCAAGGTCACAAACATTAATTGAGTGCCTTCCTGGGCCAAACCCTCTACTGGGCATTCTGGGGTGTGCAAAAGTAGAAGACCCTGCCTGCCCTTCTGGAGCCAGTGCTTTGGGTAGGGAGACAGAACATATCTATGTTAAGAAGTGCAGAGCAATAAATATATTTCTATTGATTTGGGGCTGGCCCTGTGACTGTGAGGAAATTCCCTCCACCAATGCAGACTGGCAATTGTTTACCAATTCCTTGGGGGGGGAGGGGGCAGGGGGCGCTGAGAGCTGAAGTGGCTTACCCACAATGTCACAGCCAGACCTGACTCTGAGCATAACCCTTTATCTACTGCACACCCTCCTTGTCCGGGTGTCTCGGTCTCTTCCTTGAAGACACACACGTTGAGGAACCATAGAATTAGGGAGTAAGAAAAATGATGCAGCATTCACCTAAGAAGGCTACTTAAGAAAGGGAAAGGGGATTTAGTTAGAGTCTTCTTTCTGGGTGAAATCATTTGAAAGGAGGTGGGACTTGAAGGACAGATGCAATTTGGAGAGACAGAGGAAGGCGGATTCAGAGGCTAGATCAGGGGTGGGGGACCTGCGGCCTCGAGGCCACATGTGCGATTTGTTCTCTGCAGTTTGGATTCAGTCAAAGGCCCGCACTTGAGGGCCTAGAGGGCCAACATGTGGCCTCGAGGCCGCAGGTTCCCCACCCCTGGGCTAGAATTGTGGGCCAGAGTTTCAGGTTTAAGAACCTGGCCAAAAGAATGAATGCTAGAACAGTTTGTTAAGTGATGATTAGGTGCCAGGCGCTGGGCTAGTGCTGGGATGTAAGTACAAGCAAGGAAGCCAGTCCCTGCCTTTGAGAGGCTCCTGTGAAAACAAAGGAAGACCAAACCTAAAGGGGAGCTAGAAAGGAACAGCAGGGGGAGAGTATGCATGCTTAAAGCATGGTTTGAGGGGCAGCTAGGTGGCGCAGTGGATAGAGCACCGGCCCTGGAGTCAGGAGGACCTGAGTTCAAACCCGGCCTCAGACACGTAACGCTTACTAGCTGTGTGACCCTGGGCAAGTCACTTAATCCCATTGCCTAGCCAAAAAAGAAAAAAAAAAAGAAAAAAAATCAAAAGAAAAAAAGGACACTCTTTAAAAAAAAAAAAAAAAAAGCATGGTTTGGAACAGGTCAGGAAGGACTGTGGAGACCTGACCCTGGGCAAGAGAAGGCAAAATCCCAGCATCCCAAGGTCAGAGGGCAAGGTTCTGTGGGAGGGCGATGGCTAAAGGGGAGGTGGTATGATTTAGAAATGACTAGGAAGATGGACAGCTGGAAGGAAAGAACCTTAGAAATTTTCTGGTCTAATCACCTCATTGTACTGAGGCCTACTAAGGTAAAGTGACTTGCCTAGGGTCACACAGCTAGTGAGTGGCAAAGGTGATTAGACCAGAAAACCCCCATGCAAAACTACAGAAGCCCAAATGCCAAGCCCACTGGCTACCCTAAGCAGAAGAGGCTGCTCACCCAGTGGCCTGCTCTGCCGTGCTATCTCACTCAGGATGTTGTGTCTCCCATCATAATGCCCGAGTTCCCCGTCCTGCTTTCTGTCCAAATCAAGTTCTTCCAGGTCGTAGATTGCACCTTCTTGGTTAGATTGCTGAGCGTCTCATCCTCTGCCCTAGAGTCTCCATGTGGGGACACCTAGTGCACCATAGGGCACTGGTTTTTAGGAAAATGTGGGCTTATGTAGCCCAGGCAGGATTTTTTTTCTTTTTCTGGCTTAACTACAGAAGCCCTTTTACCTAGTTCCTGGGAATGAGCATTATGGTATAATGGAGTGCCCCCTGGACTTGGAGTCAGAAGATGTGGGTCCAAATCCTTCTCCTACACTTAGTAGCTAGGTGACCTTGGCTAAGTCACTTTCCCCTCTTGGGTCTCAGTTTCTTCATCTAGAGGTAGAGGACACAACACAAAGGTTTGGACTAGATTTGATGTCTACAGTCTAAATTTCTCTGGTTGCTAATATAAGGAAAACACATTTCAGAGGAATGGTTTTTACAATTAGAATATTATCCATGTGAAATCCATTTGTTTTCAATGTGGGACACAGAGACCACTTTTCTTTTATAGGCTTTTCATCTCAAAGGCTTGAAAAACTAACCACTGGCACATAGGGCCTTAGGGAGCAGACAGACATAGCCCTTTCCCTTAGCACTTCTCAAGCTAAGACAGTCCATAAGATATAAACAGAAATCTCCCCCCAAATCTGTACAGACATGAGCAATGCAGATTAAGTCAGTGGCTCCCTTATGAAGAAGCAGTCTACCTGGGGAGGCAGGCTATGCAGGCGAAAGCTTGGGGAATGAATGTTGACAGAGGATCAGTCCCTAAGCTCAACTCAGCGAGGCTGAACTTTGTGGTGAGGGGGCATTTTCGTGGCTATCAGAAAGAGGGGGGACATTCTGAAAGCAGGAATTGGGGGAGACATTCTAGGTGTGGGGTACCAGCTGAGCGAGTCAAAGGATCAGAGAGTTAGAGCTAAAAGGACTCTCAGAGACCATTTAGTCCAACCCCCCCCCCCACTGTTCAACCCCAAAAGGTTGAGTGATTTACCTAGAAGGTGGTGTGGGGACAGTGGAAAGAGAGCCGGAGGGTCTTGGGTTCTGCTTCTCTCTTTGACCATTCCTTGGGTTACCTACCATTTCCTCCAGACTATTATTCCTCACTTTCACGTCCTGACTAGATCACCTCCTTTTGCAGTCTTTTAGGCCATTCCTCACGTACAACACTGGGCCAGTAAGAAGAAAAGCAAGGAGACAGTGTGGCAGTCAAATGTCAATCAACCTGAACCCTTAATTAACCGGGACTTCACTTTGGGGAGGAAGGCAGGTGACAGGACAATGAACTCATGTCAGGGATTTAGTAAAAAAAACATGCTACTTCCAGGAGGTGTCCTCCAATCATTGTAGGGTCTGCCCAGCCTCCTCCTGTGCTTTCTCCATCTCTAGTCCTGCCCGGTGCACAGCGATGCTCTGACCCTGAGACTGTACAGGTTCCCCAATGACTACAGATTTAGTTTTGCTTAGTACCCTGTACTTAAGAAGGCCAGAGGCAAATATATTTTAGAAAAGGCAGCAAAGCACAGTGGAAAGAAGGCCATCCCAAAAGCCAGGAGACCTAAGTTCTGGCGCCAGCTTTGCTCCTAAAGTAGCCATGTGGCACTGGGCAAATCACCTGAAGTCTCTGAACTGAGCTCCGTTCCCTTCTCCGTTAAACAAGGATGATAACACTTGCACAAGGTTGTTAGGAAGATGTGACAGAGAAAGTCAAATAATGAAAACTGTTAAGTGTTTGAAACTATAAGGGATGATTAATAGTCATGGCGTTAATAAACAAAGGATGTTTTTGCTCAAACCCTCAGCTAGAGCAAAACCCCCATTTCTTGAGTGCCTCGGCTAATGCACAGGATATTTCATGATATTGAATTTCCTTATTATTGGCTCTTTTTCTTCAAAGGTGGGTAGGCAGGATGTGGATCTGTTTCTCCCTTTCAATGGTACTTGAAATACAATTGATTGGTTGCTGCGTTAACTGGTTCCATCTTGCCTCCTGTAGGGAGAAAAATACCTTTCTGCAATATTCAGGTCCCAGAGAAGTTACCTCTTTGATAGGCAGGTGTTCCAAGTGGCACTTGGCCCCTCTCACCTCCCCCCAGGCTTCCTGACCAGTGCATGGACACCACAGAATTCCATTGCAGCAACTTCCAGAAGCCCAGCCTGAAATTGGAATGGGAAACTCCAGCACCAACCAGACATGTTTCACAGATGACTCTTTCAAGTACAATCTGAATGGCGCAGTTTACAGCGTCGTGTTCATCCTTGGCCTGATAACAAACTGTGCATCCCTCTTCGTCTTCTGCTGTCGGATGAAAATGAGAAGCGAGACTGCCATTTTCATCACCAACCTGGCCCTCTCGGATTTGCTCTTTGTTTTCACCTTGCCTTTTAAGATATTTTACAACTTTAACAGACACTGGCCTTTCGGTGACACCCTCTGCAAGATTTCTGGGACTGCGTTTCTCACCAATATCTACGGAAGCATGCTTTTCCTCACCTGCATCAGTGTCGATCGATTCCTTGCTATCGTCTATCCCTTCCGTTCTCGTACCATCCGGACAAGAAGAAACTCGGCCATCGTGTGTGCAGGAGTGTGGATACTGGTCCTCAGTGGTGGGATCTCCGCCTCTTTGTTCTCCACAACCAACGTCTCCAATTCCACAACAACCTGCTTTGAGGGATTTTCTAAGCGCATCTGGAAGACCTATTTGTCCAAGATTACAATATTTATAGAAGTGGTAGGCTTCATCATTCCTTTGCTCCTGAACCTCACATGCTCTTCCTTGGTACTTCGAACCCTGCGAAAACCTGCAACACTGTCCCAGATCGGAACCAACAAAGAGAAAGTGCTGAAGATGATCATTGTGCATGTGGCCATTTTCATTGTCTGTTTTGTGCCATACAACTCTATTCTCTTCCTCTATGCTCTGGTCCGCTCCCAAGCCATAACCAACTGCTCCTTGGAGAGGTTTGCCAAAACAATGTACCCCATTACTCTGTGCATTGCAACACTCAATTGCTGCTTTGACCCGTTCATCTATTACTTCACATTGGAGTCCTTTCAGAAGTCTTTTTATATCAACACCCAGATCAAAATGGAGTCGCTTTTCAAGACTGAAACACCACTGACGGCGAAGACTTCTCTTCCGGCGATCCAGGAGGAACTCAGTGACCAGGCGATGACTAACGGGGGAGAACTCATGTTGGAATCCAACCTCTAACCATGCTATAGATCTCGCATTCATTCCATATCGTAGGACAGCTTCCCAATGATGAGACCCTGAGCAACAGCTTTGAGTCTAATACCACAGAAACTAGAGACACAATGCCTGCCTCCAGGAGGACCCGGATTCTTGTAGTAACACATGCCACTTTTTTTTCCAATACCAACAGGTCTAATGCAGTTCTAACATCCTGAGGGAGTACTAGATTTTTTCGCTATCCTAGAGTTTTGCTACGGGAAATGAATGGGTAGAGGATATCTTTGTTATCTAGTGATTTTCATTCGAATGGTAAGTGGAGCGACATGATTGGACTTGGAGCCATAGAATCAAGTCAGGAACTGGAAAACCAAGCCTATCAGCTTACTACTCATAGCTACATGCTAGTGTTCTTTCCCCCTTCTCTACAAAGAAAGTCAATGGTTCCTACATTCATTTTGAATGGCTGTTTTTTGGATATCAAACCAGCGTTTTCATCATTCTTCAAACTGACTCCAAGAGTGTATTTTAAAGTTTTATTTTCATTGAAACATTTGAATGGGAACACGATCAGATTCAATTCAACAACAATTAAATACCTACTACGTGCAAGGCACAGACCAGCTAAATTTGGCTTGTGTGTCTGTGTGTATGTGCATGTATTTGAAAGCAAATAGGTTGTGTTTGTGTAAGAACAGGACAGAAGAGTTACTGAGGTAACTGACTCTTCCAATCATATAAACCGCCACACACGATGGTGGCGTGTTCAAGTGCATGCTTATTTTACCTTTATATCTGTGTACTTTTCTTACTAGCAACATTCAGATCGAAAACCTGGGCACGATATAGCTGCAAAGCAAAGCATCTGAATCTGTGCTCAGAGCAGGGGTTAAGTGGGAGATGGGGGAGGGGGGGAAGCATATTAAAAGAACATTCTTAAAGCACGCATTTATCGTATTTTTGCATGATCTGTAGCCTTGGACAATGTGTGCTTCATTTTCTTATCTAATGGAGACCTTGGCTGCAGAATAAATATAGGCACTAAACATATAGATAGCAGCTAAGTTAGAAATCAGATAGAACTAATTCTTCTTTGCTCTTGCCATTTACAGGGGTATGCCTGACTGGGCATGCATCTCTCCTGCTACTTGTGGAGCAAAAAACCAAACCGATTTGGTGTTTTCTTTGTTTCTCTGCCACATGCCTGCTTGTTTTGCAACTAACTTATTATTCAATTTGCATTTCTTATAGATTTATGAAACCTATATTATATATATTATATATATATATATAATATATATATATATATATATATATAAATGAGCATGTATTTGTCCATTGGGCCGAAGGCATGAAGTTGTATAGCTGAGGCACTAAAAGATTTGATGAGAACGGGACACAAATCATGAATACAAAGTCTTTCTAGGCAGTGTGGAAGGCACTGCAATGGCTCTTGCCCCAGGGACCTGGTGATGTGTCCATAATAAAAATGTAACCAACCAATGACAATGGACTGAATGTATATTTATGTAGCAAATGGAATCTTTAAATATGCGTGAAAATAAAAAAATGATGCTTAACCTCTAATTTCTGCTTAGACTGACTTGGATTTTAAATGCTCATTTAATGTAATAAAATACATTTGAATTAGCCAACTGTTGCAGTTTCTTGTTGCTTTTCCTTTGAGTAAGCCCTAAAGGCATTTTTCTTTATCCCCAAAGAAAGGATATAGACTTGTTAGTGTAGGTTTGATCTCAAACCAATTCCAGCACCTCATTTTCAATGCTATGTAAAGTCTCCTGGAAGACTGGCAAATGGCAAATCCCTGAGCAGTTTTTGAAGGATCGAGTCAAAAAATTAAAACCCTCTTTTCCAAGTTGGCTTTGATTTATTTGGGGTTTAGGAGAAAACTGACTTTTTAATCTGGTTTCCAGGACTTGATGAATGTATATTAAATGTCACAGGGCACCAGGCAGCAGCCTTCCAGGATCCAGGAAAATGTGGCCAAACAGACCATCTGACAACAATGAGAGATGGTTGGAGCCAGTTGGCTGGATAAATCAATGGCTAGAACAGGTGGTGGCCACAGGGCAGGGCCATGCAGTGAATTCCTGGTAAACTCACTGATTTCTTTTGAGGGAACTAAATGGAGAAATCTAGAAAACGGACATTCCATATTAGCTACTGATGACAGAGAACTAAAAATTTCCTTAGCTGTAGGGCTAGCCCTGGGCAACATTTATAAGCTAGAGGAAGTTTGTTTTGCTTTTTTTGTACCCTCCCACCTTTCTTTCTGTGTCCTGCCAGACTAAGCCAAAGGCCAGAATCCATCCACTGGGGGTCCTGCATGAGGTTGCCACATAGATTGACTATCTAATTGAATATCCTCTCACTTTTCCTTTTTGCCCCTCTCCACCCACCAGGTGTCTCGTGCCCTTATGACTGCCCAAAGTTCCCCAGTGTGATGCCTGCCCTCCTCACACATCTATTTCGGTCCCTCCCCGCCCCATACCCTCCCTAGGCTCTAAAATCTACCTCCTTCCCCCCGCCCAAACCCCTTTATATGTTTAGCTAAGGGTTAGGGAGGAAATCTGATCAACATTTTGGTGTGTGGAAGGAGTACAAGATCTGGAGTTGGAAGAGTTCAAGGCCTTTTCTTGCTGCTTATCTGTGAGATCCTGAGTAAGTCACATCCTTCTCTGGGCCTCAGTTTCCTGCTCTGTGAGGTGAGGAGGTTAAACTAGATCTGGGGTTCTTAATCTCAATTTCAAGGAGTCTATGAACTTGTATGGGAAAAATTTGAATCTTTATTTGCAATAATCTTTGGTTCCCTTTGCAATCCTATATATTTTATTTTGTGCACTTAAAAACATGACTGAGAAGCGGTCCATGGGCTTTACCAAGACTGCCGAAAGAGTCCGCGACACGACAAAGGTGAAGATTCCCTGAGCTAGAGGGGAGCTAAGACCCCTCCCAGCTCTGCCGTTTCTATATTCCCCATTTAAGTTCCCTCCCTCACCCCCAAGGTACTTACATTTACCAAAGAAGTCTCAGTAGGTAGAATGCTTCCACCATTTACCAGCACAGTCCCTCCGGCTCAAAAGCCTTCCTGCCTCATCAAACCACACACCTAGTTGGGACAAATGTTACAATTTAAATTCATGCACCTTACAGTTAGAAGCCATGGGTTCAAATTTCAGCTCTGCTATTAACTGGGTATCTGCCCTTATATTCGAGTGACTAAACAGCTCTGCGCCTCTGGTTCTTTATGCTGCACTATCTCCTTTCCAGATATGTTGTGAGAATAAAATGAATATCGGGTCAGTGGTTGCTGCTGTAATTTCACAACCGGCTAGGAACAGGGAGAGACTTACCCACCACACTTTTAAATTTAATCTGTATTATTAACATGTTTTCCATCACTTCTCTAAGTCTTGACAATCGACTGAACAATAAATCAATCTTTGATCTGTATGTAGCATTTGCCCATTTCTAGGGTGTAAATGCTCACACTGAAAACTGAACAATTTGCTCTCTCGGGCCCTTCGGCAGCTGCCTCCAGCACCCTCCTCTACAGGATCAGAGAGTAAAAGCCAAAAGAGGTCTTAGAAGTCATCTATTCCAAACCCTTCATTTGACACATTCATTTCAATGGGCATTTTAAAAAGGCCAACTGTGCCAGGCACTGGGAATACAAAGAAGAAGAAAAAACCCAGCCCCTGAACATTGATAATTAAAGGTGAAATTTCTATGTGATAAATGCAAAGTCATTTTTATAAGTGGGAGCTAAGTAAAGCTTGCGTGCCAGGCGTGGCAGTTAGCCATTTCAAAGGTGTGAAGAAAGAACTGGGTTGTCATGTGCAGAGAATAGCAAGGAGGCCTGTGTGTTGAGAGTATCCAGTGTGAGTGGGGGAATCATTTGTCATCAGTTTGGAGCTGTCCAGGGAGCCAGCTTGGAGTCAACTTGTGATGGGCTTTAAATGCCAAATGGTAGTTGGTACTTTAGCCTGGTGCCATTAGGGAGCCACTGAAGGTGCTTGAGCAGAAGAGTGGTCAAATGTGTGTTGTAGGAATACCAGCTTGGCAGCTTTGCAGAGGAAGGATTAGGGGGCAAAGGCTGGGTGCAAGGAGATCAATTTGGAGGCTCTCCCGGGAGCCGGTGACAAGGGTCTCAACTTGTGTGGTGGCCATCTGAGTGAAGAGAAGAGGAGAGATGCATGAGATGTCCAGTAGAGAGGAAGGTCATGCAGGTCACAAGTGGCAGATCAACAATTCAAATACAGGTCTTTTGACTCCAGCTCCATGATGTAAAGCACCTTTATAAATGTTAGCTACTGAAAACACCAGGCAATCTACCTGATACCTTTTTTTAATTTGTTTGTTTGTTTTTGCAAGGTAATTGGGGTTAAGTGACTTGCCCAGGGTCACACAGCTAGTAAGTGTCAAGTGTTTGGTCTGAGACCGGATTTGAACCCAGGTGCTCCTGACTCCAGGGCCGGTGCGCTATCCACTGCGCAACCTGGCTGCCCCGCTGATACCTTTTTTAAAGGCAGCTCAGCATAGTGGAAAGAGGATTGGACTTGCAGTTAGGAGACTCAGGCTCCTGTCTCAACTCTTGCTACCTACGTGATGAGTGAGTCACTGAGCCTTGGTTTCTTCTTCTATATTATGGCCATAATACATGAACTATTTATCGCTTGTTACTATAATGAGAGGAATCTATAACTGTGAGTTTATTAATAAAAATACCTAAATAATAAAATGCTTCATAATAAAATACTTCCTAATTCCAGTAGATTCAGCTGAAGAACAGAATCGCTTAGCACAAATTGGAGGGCACCCTAATTAGGCATGGCAAGGTCAAAGATTAATGCTTGCCCAAGTGGTTCTCAGGACCCCATGAGAGTTGTCAGGGTTCGCAGGGGGTGGGGAGTTAGTTGGAATACCAGAAACCAAGGGTATATCCCAATGCCAAAGTAGTAACCTGGAGGAAATGTTAAGAACATCAAAACTGGGTCAATGCATCTCGGAAGCAGGATAGTAAGGGCTATGTATGCAAAGAGCCAAAGAAGCAGCACACAGTGAAATCAGGCGCTAAAGAGCGCATAGGGAAGTAACAGCGGTGGCCTTTCTGTGGCTTCCTTTTAATGATGAGTGCAAAACATCTTTCCTCTAAACTTTTAAAAGAGTCCCAGAATCCAGGAGTTATAAAGGATCTCAAAAGCCATGTAGTTCATTGTGAGGGACTGTCTGATGTTGGCAGCTACCAGGTTGGGTGCTGTGGCAAGGGTAGGGTAAGATCTGGGTATTTTGGAAGTCGAGGCAGGGGCTGTGGTAGGCAGAGTCGTGTGTACTGGGATGGGCTGGATACGGAGAAGCCCTGAGGCAATTGGGCAGTGCTATGAGATAAGCTGGGTGCAAGGAAGTAGCCGAGCCTGAGCTCCTGAGGCAAGGGGCGGTGCCACGTGGGAGTGGGATGGCAGAGGACTGAGTTCCCTCTGCTTAGTCCCCTCCCTATATGCAACGTCATCCCCAGATGCCTCTTGTGACTTTCCTGACTTCCTTGGTCCCTTTGTGCAGCACTGACCCAGTCCCCTCCTGAGTCTGACTTCCTAGGTCACGTACTCTTGTCTATGCGTCAATCCCAGATGCCTCCTTCCTGTATCCAATCCTAGCCTCCTACGTCACTCCCTCCCCCTTGGTGTGCTAAACTCAGACAGCCCCTTCCGGTATCTGACCCTACAATCATTGGCTAGTAGCGGGCTGGGGAGGAGGGGCTAGGTAGGTACTTAGGAACAAGCATGGTCAGATCACACGTGCGCTCTCCCCTGGCTCCCGCCCTGTTGCTCTGGCCTTGCTGCTTGGGCTTGCTATGATGGCTTGCTGTGTTGGCCTCTGAATAAAGCTCTGGTGTTGGTGCCTCCCGATGGCTTGTCTCTGTGTGGTGATCCGGCTGAGGACCGAAGACCCAGGTGTGGGTAAGACTCTGGTAGTGTGCTTCTTATAAGAGAAGTAGGTACTGGCGCATGGCTGGCAGAAGGTCGGTGTGCGGCCAGTACAGTTCATGACCCTAAATTCCACATACAACACCCCTGACACATTTGTCCAGCCTGTGCTTGAAGACCGCCGATAATAAGGGGAGCCCGCTTCCTCCCCAAATGGCCCATTCCACTTTGGGACAGCTATGATCGTGAGAACATTTTTTCCTTATATTGAGCAAAAATCTGCATCTCTCCAACTTTCCCCTTTGGGTCCACG